TAAGTATGGAGTTTAACCCTCTCATCTGGTAATGGATTGGGTAGATTGGGAAAATATATCTGGAATGCACAATGCTCTATCACGATGATGTATATGTGATTTTTATCTTTGTACAGAGCTTACTCAATTCAAATGACGATCATTGAAGTAGTGTGCAGAGCATTATTTTCAATCTGACGACTGTCATCATACTCTATAGTGTTTGCAATGAGAGACGTTTTAGCAAATCATAAGGACGTCTGCTCCTGTGTAAACTGTTGGTTTACTGACCATGTAAACATTCTTCACTCTACACTGGGACGGCTGCAAACTAAACAATTATCACAAAACAATTGAAGATATATTTTGTAGGCTATCAATATCTCGAGAAGAATTTGATCTAAGTTGGTCGACAGTTGTAGGAGATGCGCAGCACGGCTTACCCATTCGTGATATTATGCGGATGCGTAACCGAGCGCTTCATGCCAGGTGATTCTAGTAAAACCAATGCGGTCAGTGTCAAATGTCGAAGACTTACAGAACTATTTATTTCAGAGTTAATTTACTACTACAGAGTGATATTATGCATGGTGATTTTTTACTTTCCACGTAAAAAATACGATGATATTATTACAGTCACAATACGAATAGGGATATTTTAAATTTCAACTCGTCAGTAACTAAGCATATGATTCATGTATTTGTAGTGACCTACTTTTATCAAGAGAATGTGATTGGTATAATGGAAAAAATTATTATTATGACCAATTGTACCGATGATTGTTTTACTGTACTTGCTTGTTTATCTGTACAAAAGACATACTTTCTTCGGTTGATTGTGGCCTTGCACGAGTTTGGTTAAGCTCAGTAACCACACTTGTACTCCTTTGGCACGATCTCGGTATTCTTTCGATACCACGAGATAGCCAACAAACACATCTCGACTACAGCCATGAAATGCCTTCTGATATTTGGCTCACGGGGGATTTTATCGGTTAACTGGCACGTAGTCTTCTTGTAGTGGTGTTCATAATCAACCGCGACTCGACAGCATACTACATATTCTCTCTTTATCTCCAAAATACTTGAATGTGATATTTATACGTGATTTGTACTCGATAAGATCAGTAAGTATCTGCATTTTACACACAGATATATTGAAACTGACTCTTATAAATAACATTCGGACTGTGATCAGAATGTGAATAATTTAAAACCTACTGCCTACACGAACGAGCGAATTCAATAAAAGTGACTGATGCACGAATACAAACAACAATTTTTATGTGGTCATCAATACTGTATTTAGATTTGAACTCACTGAGAGCTTGTGCTTCATATTGGTCAAGGTTTTCACTGAAAACAATTAAATTGCGGAGACAAGTAACATTTGATATTTTGCCATCCGTTTTTCATTCGTTTTGAAATATCTTCCACAAGTTTATTGAAAATACGAATCAATAGGACTGTCAACATCCGATATGACATCGTCAGAAATTTGATCAGAAATCGATTAACCTGGAACATCTGTCCCACAATGACATTCAGCTTCGCTCAAGGAGATTGGATATTTAAAATGGATGTTCAAATGCTAAACTTGTAGGTTTCTTCTATATATCCATGTGAACATGTCTACTTTTGCCTATAATGTATGTGTTACCCATCTATAATAATTTATGCACAATCTAATCTCATACATCTGTGTCGCGGTTGACTATGAACACCACTACAAGAAGACTACGTGCCAGTTAACCGATAAAATCCCCCGTAAGCCAAATATCAGAAGGCAGTTGATGGCTGTAGTCGAGATGTGTTTGTTGGCGATCTCGTGGTATCGAAAGAATATCTAGATCGTGCCAGAGGAGTACAGGCGTGGTTACCGAGCGTAACCGAACCTGTGCAAAGTCACGATCAATCGAGTGGTAATAATATGGCTGTCTTTAGCACAGGTAAACAATCATCGGTACAATTGGTTATAATAATAATTGTTTCCATTAAACCAATCGCGTTTTCTTGATAAAAGTAGGTCATTACACATCTTATGTATCGCTACAATTATAATCAGTTGGTTGAAGTATCAACTTCATGGTACATAAGCTTGTTTTTCGTTTAAATGATTGCATTATTGCAAATGTCGAACGTGCCATTTACCTCCAAGGTAAATTTGAGAAGACTAACGTACCGCTACCGCAAGCACCACGACTTGTAGATGTTTCAGAAATGAATAATTTCGATGCAAGTAACTCTTGACTATAAACAGTTCGGTTTTGGGTAGAGAAACCCCACATATTCCCACACACTGCCTTTTTAAATATCGCCATAAAATTGGCTTTCTTCGGTACAATCATGTTCTTTGAACTAACAGTAATATTGTGGACGACCATCATGGTATTGTGAACATTCCAACTATCGTATCTCACAGTGTCATAATAGAGAGACGGAAACCTCTACTAATATATTTCCAGTTTTGACATCTGTCCCTAGTCAATTACATTCGCCAACATCACTCAGACTATAACTACCCCGAAACTGTCCTACCATAGCAAACCTGACAGTATTCCGAGATGGTTCTTGATTTATGTCAGTAGAGAGTCCGCATTATTTTGCCTTGGACTGACAAACTGATGTGTCGAATATGGAGTCTAATAGTCTGTGTAGAAAGCACCTCTTTATGCTCCCGGATTCGAAACGGGATCAAGTAGTGTTATTGCAAGCTATCGGCCTATTAACGTGACCGCCATATGATCAAAAGTCATTCATACACAAACGGCTATTGCCAGTTTTGCCTACTGACGGCTTTATTAGCCTTTCCAAACATGAAACTATGACAGAACGCTCCTATTCCAATTCCCACTTAGAACGTTTTGATCAAATGGACAACAAAGATACGTCGGTGATGGTTCTATACTTTGATTTTAGTAAGACCCTCGATAGTCTCACACAACCCTCTAGAAATTTCCCCATTTGATGTATAAGATTTCCTTTTATGCTGGTCCGAACCTCTGTAACAGATTGTGGGCAAATTGTCCGCTTTGAATCTCGGTACTCTAAGCCTATAAAGGAAATATGGTTGCCCCGTTACTCTTCCTTTTTTGATAATGACCTGTGCTAACTCTCTTAGTACGACAGACATTTTCGTTTTGTTGATGTGTGTGTGCAATACACATAATACTACTTATTACGATTCACTTTCACAAAGATTTATTAAAACAATATGACATGAAGTCAATAAACATCTGAAGATTGCAGAACGAGTTAAGATATTGTAGATATTATGTAAACACTGTTGAAATTCTCGTGTATAAATGCATTTATAACAAAACCCGAAGAGGTTCTTTCACAACACTTATGCGTAAGTTTTGCGGTTAATATTAATTATGATAAGCATAAACTAAACACACTATCAACATTTCGGCTTTTTAATCCAATGTTTAATTACAAAACACTGGGTAGAAATAACTTTCATCAGATTTCCCTGAACAGCTGTAGTGACCTACTTTTATCAAGAGAATGCGATTGATTCAATGGAAACAATTATTATTATAACCAATTGTACCAGGGATTGTTTTACCATACTTGTTTGTTTAATTGTACCAAAATACATACATTCTTTTGTTGGTTGTGACCTTTCACGAATTTGATCACGCTCAGTAACCACACTTGTAACCTGGCACGATCTCGGTATTCTGTCGATAACACGAGATCGCCACAACAGCTTTGAAATGGTCTATGGTTCAATAAAATAGTATCTCCGTTTCTATGTAGCCATCACGCGACATATTGAATGATATGAACAAGATACTAACAATAACTGCTCTAGATGTCAATGGGACTTATTTTTATGAACATGGGCGAATTCAGGGCAAACCTGATGAAGCACACCTGGTCGAGAGCAACTAGATATACATCAAGTTACTGAATTGTTTCAAATAGAAAAGAAACTGTAATCCATAAACTACCTAGAATAGTCACTCTTATTAACAAATAGAGTAACCAATTAGCTGGAGGACTCATTTTTGATACAGGCGTTATGAAATCCTCAGGGTCAGATGAGCTCATGTGAATGCGCCTTGACCGGTGTTTGGCGACATGTCGGTAGTACAAAAATATGCAGGGTACATGAATGCTGTCATGTCAAATTTAGAAGAGAGTAGAAAAATATGTAGTGGACAAGAATCAAAGCAATCAAGTACTTCAAGTGTTTAGTTTTAAGAAAAAAGTGGACTATCAAAGTGCTACGTAATAAAGTGTAAGAGTGTGCTTTGTATCTGTTGATATGAGTAGCTTCCTGTAACTACTGACCTTAATATGAGCGTGTTATTTAGAAGAGGATTTCAGGAAGATTGGATTCGAAAATTATTAAACGAGAAACAGTTGCTCATACTTTTATTGTATAGTTAATAGAAGTTTGGACTATGGGATTCTTATATTCTACTAATCGTTAGCTTTTGCCTAATCTACAAACTCGTACTATATACCCTATGGTATTAGACACAACTAATTAATTATGTCTTCATTACTCTGTTTTTGTATTACTTATGACTGAGTTGTGTATAAGTGGTAATTTTCTATTTGTAATGCTGTGAAATCGAGTTTTGGAGGTATACTATAGTATACTTTTTGAGTGCGAAGAGAGAACGAATTTACTTTTTATCCTCACTTTCCCATTAGGACACTAGGTGTTAATTTATTGATTATTGTTTATTAGTTGTTATACAATTTGATGAAGAAGGTCACTGGTCTTAAAACAAATATGGACAAACTAATCAACTAACAAACTAGATAGTACAACTAATTTTGTAGTAACGGCCTGATCACACAAACCCAAACACAAATCAAGAACATATTCTTTTCTTTTTGGAAGCACAACAGAATCGGAAGTCAACTAACAAAATACAGCTCCTAAACAACACAGTAACTTGACACAAATGAGTGATAGTAAAACAAAGGTATAATATTTAGTGTTTTTGATGTATTTGGTAATGAAATTTAAAACCAAATTGTTGAACATCTGGGAGTATCGTATATTGAAGCAAGATATTATAATACACTACGGATAGATGTTAAGATGAACAAGAAACACGTAGTTTACGAGACCAATCAGGAGGACGATATTTAATCCGGGATACAAGATGAAAAGACTACAAAAAAGAAAGATATCTTCCGAAAGTAAAATAATACCGCGTTATATAAATGTAAATGATTTGGTAATATTTGTAAAATTTCAAATGATATGGCTAGTAAATAAATCTATTTAGCTATGGGATGACAGAGACTTATGTTTCACGATCATAATTTTATAGGCGCTGGAGTCCAAGGTTGTAGTAGTTTAATTGCAGAATTTTAGTTGTCATTCAGGATAATCAACGGCTAGTTTAAATAGAACTAAACACTCAAAGATTATTCTACAAGTGGAAAATCGACCAATTGAGACGTTAGGTGATATAACCAGTAACCAATAGCAACAATGCAGATACATTCACTACTTTGTCTTCTCTTAGATCCAGAGTTTCGAAACAATTTTATACCTTCTAGTGAATTTATTATTGCCTCTCATAAATCATTGTTTATGTCAAATGTATTTTTACTGTTACAGACACTAAAACTACTATTGTCCTAATGTTCTTCGTGATGCAGAGTTACATACTGACTACTGCTAAACATACAACGTCAAAATACAGCACATTCGATATCGAGTCATTTAAACACTAGTGACAACATTGCGAACTAGTTTAAAAATAACTTGATTCGCACTAAGAGCCAGGAAAAATTGACATTGGTTTTTACCGTGATCAATTGAAATCAATGGTATTTTGATGAATGGATGAAAAATTCGATTAAAAACAAGTAAACGTAAATTGGCATCTTTACTACTCACCTCGTTATTCAAAGACATATCAGGATTTTTAAAAGGTGTGGTCAATGAGTTGAATAATTGTTGTGCAACTGTATAATCTCCTTTATCAGCTGATTTAATAGCTTCTTCGGCAAGATAATTACGTAGAACTACTCGAGGATTTACAGACTGCATTAAATTTAAACGTTCAGAGAATTGTGTTTTGGTATTATCATGATTCCCTTCGAAATCTATTTTTAAACGTACTTCGTATGCTTGTAACCACATAGACCATAGACGTTTATTTCTCTCTTGGTATTCTTCTTCTGTCATATGCTAAATAGAAGATAGAAAAAATACTACTTCGTAAAATATTCTATGTATTACAAAATGATTGTGTACAGTTCACGTCAACACTAAGTGGTGTGTATTACAGTCGGCGGACAAGTAAAGTGCTGTCTTATTGAAACAACCACATTTCAGATGACGATAGTCATAAAAAATACACATAGTTATTCTACTATACAAGTATAAAAGTAGATATATTGTCAAAGTAGCACTTACCCCATCGGATGCCGGCGACCATACCACAATGGTGTCGGTGTATACGCTCTCTGTCTTCCCTTATACTAAGAGATTAAAATCGCTTCATATCATTCTTTGTACGAACTATTTCTTTCTTCCTGTACTATATCCTTATTGCAATCTTTCTTTTATATATTACCACAAATGAATTAACTACTTTTATGAATCCAGTGTTCATCTTGTTGTGTTAATGAGGTATGGCAACTTGGACCGATGCATATATGTGCCCGGTCCTACGTTGTAGCTGACTGACTGGCCTTATCGGATTGTAAAAGAAAAAAAATAATGAAGGTACACTATGTGTTTTTTGTTATGACTGTATTTGTTTAAACTTATAAATGAGTTATTATCACTTTCTATTGTTCTGATGATAAATAAGTTTTTTTAAATCACACGTCCATAGTTTACCTACTACATAGGAGTGTAAAAACTTTAACTGAATGTCCAACAGTTTTTTATTTATTTTTATAATTGGCAACTTAATTCAATAATTGCTTGGTTTGAAGCCATCACAAATTCACTTAATCTGCGAACGAGAAACAAGACTCGGTGACCAAAGACCAGTAAGCTAGCTATTGATACGTCTCAGCCCGGCTAACTAGAGGGAGAAGTCCAAGCTTGGAATGGAAAGTATATTCTGCAAAAAAACAGAAACGAGCAGTAACAACAAACACAATTCAAACCTATATATACAGTGCGAAACCGTCCACGGGGAGAATTACCAAATAGCATACTAAATGACACAACGGACCAATAGCATTTAAGATATTTCCCAGTGGGAAATACGACATGAAGGTGACAAGAGCGCCTTTGGCACGAAAACAAAGAAACTCAAATTTTCTAAATAAAATTACAAAATTAGGTTTTTTCCCAAGTGAGTTCTGGAGATCTAACGTCCCCAACAATAATAAAGACTTCAACAAGATTTACAACTCAGTTTGTAAATCTATTTAGTAGTCTTAGACAGTTGTATTGTTTATTTACATTAATTGTAATAATTAATATATACAATATATTTCCCCCTGTAATGAACGAACCACAAAAATAGGCTGCACAAATATGTAAAATTTTGTCTAAATATGGAAGGTATGTTTTTACAGTACAAAAGGTTCGAGGAAGAATTTACGAAATGCAGGTAAAATTTTATAATGAACACAATAATTTCTTTGATAAGCTGGTTTTAAACTCAGTTGTTATAACTTGTATGTTGACTAGCATCAGAGACTTGAATTTGTGAGGACCAGGATAGAGCATCATAAGGATGCAAGATTACTCAGATAATGAGTTGTGGATAGCGAGTTCACTACGACAGACGTCTATCGTACTCGAACCGATCTAAGTTACCTGGTTATACCACTTCTATGTGTACTTACCAATTCATCTGCTCCTGTGGAGAAAGCTATGTTGGGCGCTTTTGTGTTCTGTCGGCCTTTACTAACGTAAAACCCTCGAAATGAAGTTCCATACTATCTATAGCCTGTGTCAGCCAGGTTTCTGTGACTGCGATAATTTCTGGATTTGTAGAGTCAATCTGTACACCTAGTTCCGATCGCCTATTAAGCAAGCTTCGGGCATTGGTGTAACAGATCCGAAGACTGTTTAAGTGCCTTCGTGCTTCACCCAGAGTGGCTTCAGCACCATTCTCTGTCGAAGTCTTACAACCCGAAAATTTACAATTCTTAGGTCCTTTTCGCCAACGTCTAACCTAAGTTGTAGTTCTTTTTCGGCTTCTCGTCTTTTTACACGGTCTGACAACGGTAAGTCCTTTCACATAAAGACTCCTGAACACTTTAATTTGTGTCCATTCTATAAAATTAAGTCACGTTCGTTCGAAGAGTTGAATACTACTTTGAGCAGTCTTGAATGATTTAGTTTCAAGTCCACTAGACACCCTAGTCTGTACACCTTTGTCAAGGTGACCCCGGTGACATTTTGAGGCATGAGTTGATAAAGAAGCTGCCTAATCAGTACAATGTCATGCTCAAAACGAGCTTTAGGTTCAGAGCTCTCGCTCTCCTTGATTCTATGAAAAATAGCTGATCTGTCGCTATGATCAGCTTTCGATTTTTCAACCACTTTTACGGGGGCAGGAATCCCTTTTATTTCCCATTCGTCAACGGTTCTGGTAGAAGCAACAACAGTCGTGTCAAACCTAGTGTTGGATTTTGGGGGGGGGTTGTCGACGACCTGAGAGGTCAGGTTATGTTGACCTCTTGAAACCGATCGAGCTTTGTGATTGCGGCTTCTAGGTGTTTCCTGTTGGACCCCATCTGGGAGACGGGGAACAGAAGACCCTACTTTTCTTGGGCCTTTGCTTAAGGCAGGCCCCTTTTGGTGACTGCTTTTCCTTCTTTGACGGGCGTAAGTCATCTATCATCGAGCTAACTTTAGTTTCCTTCACGTTGATTTGCGTGTCGACAGATCGAGTGCTGTTTGACGCGTTCCGACTATGCTTGCTAAAACACTTCTTTGCAGCATAACCAGTGAGATGGCCTCAGTTAACAAGCTGTTTTCATCCGAGCAGCACTGTTGACAAAGCCATACACAACCCTTCTTACTGAACCGTTTGAAAGCAGCAGGCGTTAAGTTCGTGCAAACTTCGTGGTACCAGCCTTTGCACTCGTCGCACTGCATGCCGCTTTCAACAGGATAACGACAACCCGGACGTTTGCAACTGCTTTTTTTTACACTGTCCGGTCATTTAGAAGGGGTTCTTTTTCAAGATGCGATGATACTCTGAAACCAAAAAAAATAATCAATGACCAAAAATGTGAAGAGCTGTAGATTGCTAGGACCAAAAGTACTAACAAATACAGTTGAAAAAGAGGTACTCAAGAGTACCAACGACAAAACCAATTGAGAGAACAGTAAAAACAGTACTCTAGTCGAATACTTTAACTGAAATAAATTCAATGAAAGTGAAGACAGTAGTCTTGATACGTAATAAACGATCAAAACAATGAAATTTACTCAGCGACGAAAAATACCAATGTCCTTTTTACGTAGCGCGCACTAATAATATAACTGTCGCAAGATGATTGATGCGTCACATCGACAATTCGTGATGTTTTTCAGAAGCGGTCAGATCAATACATTTTTAGATTTGGATTGAGTTCAGACGCACTATGTGTGATAACGTCCATCCTTCAAGTAACGAAGAAGATACCATCGTGATGATGCATGACGTCGGACCAATCTTCAATGATATTATGTTATTTCGTCGATTCACAAGTTGAGACAATTTTGAGACCTATTTGAAGGAAGTACTTAAGCTAATATGACTTCTCTGGTTAATAATTATTTTTGTAGGATACGCATACTAAGTAAGTATGTCAGTATTGTCAGGTTCACTGAAAGCACTCGCCGTTTTGTTCCAACGACCTTGAACGCTAAAATATGAGGCGCTCAGTCAAATAATTCAAATTCAGATTTGTGTAGCAAGGACAGAAGGCTTACGGCCTATGTTATTCTTCCTTCTAGTGTGCTTTTATGAATGTACAGTCTTCATTTGAATGAGTCAATTGAAGGTGCGGACATCAATGCTTTAGATAACAGATTCGAAGTATTGATGACTTGGTGTGAAAACCTGTACGCCACGGGTATTTTGTTCTTTCTTAGCTTTTCTACTCGCCTGCTATGTCCTCTGGGATGTCTCGATCTAATGGGAAGAAAGAGAGAGAATAAGTTAGGTCGAAAATCATTCGCCAGTTTTCTGTACATCAAAATTAAATCTCCCCTTAGTTCGCGATGGGATAGAGTAAAGAGTTTCAACTTTTCTAAACCCTCTTTGTATAGATCTGGCGATATAGATCACCATCACCTCCATTCAGGAACCTAGGTATATTATCGGCAAAGAGGGAAAAGAAAAAAGCCAAACCATATTAAGATACTATATTTAGTCCTTAAGAATATGCCAAGTTTTCTTTTAACAGACTCCTGGGAAGTCGCTTGGACTACCTCAGCTGACAGTGAATTCCAGCATTTGGTTACCCTTAAGGAATGGAAAGTGTATCTTCAGTCCGTTCTACCTTGTAGAGTCTCCAGTTTCTGGGTGTTACCTCTGAGTTTTGTGATGGAAATAAGTTTAAGTAGGTGTTTGAGGGAATATTCAGAACTATATATGATGCTGTAAGCCATTGGAAGGTCACCTCTAAGATGTGTGTACTCTAGTAGTAGAGGTTTAGTGATTGAGGTGCTCTTCATAAGACTTGAATATGAGTAACCAAACCGACTTCGTGGCTCGCGTTTTATTCAGCAATCTGTTAAGTTACATGGATTTCAAGTGTTCACATATTTAAGTAGACTTTTACTTCAATAAAATCTCAAAATGATTGCGAAAAACACTAACTAGGCTTTCTCTTATTTGAAGTGTACACGTTTAGTCGAGTTTCATTTCGTAACTTGGTCTGGTATACCGATTGCTCAGCTAGCCCTCACCGTCTTTGTCTAAAAGTAGATAGGGTCATGAATACAGTATACTAAGAATAACTTAACAGTTCAGTTATTAAAGTATAGCAATGAATAACTGTTTTTAACAATTGCCCAGTTCTATCTGTAGTGCTTCATGCTCAAGAGATATTTCAGCCGACATAAGCGGGGTGTTTCGACGTATAATACTAAACAAGCGTTTCAGAAGCTGGACTGAATTCGATAGTGCTGTAGGGCCAGCGAATTGTCACTAAGCCCTAGCCGAATCATCCGGCAGTCGGGTCATTGAATATCAAGCAAATCATCGATCCTCGTCAGTGGTCTCACTTTCGCTTGTACCTACTTTAACTAATATATTTCTGTCCAACTCGAGTAGGCCTCCAATCATTTCGACGTAGATCATCTACGTTGGCGATCTACACTGGTGAGCAAGACTTCGAATAACGCAACCTATTACTATAATCTTTATTATTGCATACTATACTTATTCTCTTTCATTTTTATCATCGCCTATGTTAACCTATCACAGTGAACTTTCGCTGCTTCATGTCAATGTTGATTAGCATTTAAACCTAAATAATTAGTTCAGTCGATAGAACTAACTGATCAACTACATTTATAATCGGCTTTCGTGGTTCTTTAACAAGCATTAACAGCATGTGAATACTTACTTACTTACGCCTGTTACTCCTCGTGAAGGAGCATAGGTCGCTCACCAGCATTCTCCATCCAACCCTGTCCTGGGCAATCCTTTCTAGCTCCTTCCAGTTGTAATTCATCCTTTCCATATCTGCTTCTATTATCCGACATAATGTGTTCTTTGGCCTTCCTCTTTCCCGCTTTCCCTCAGGATTCTAAGTTAGGGCTTGTTTCGTAATGCAGTTCGACGATTTGCATAATGTATGTCCTATCCATTTCCATCGTCTTTCCCTAATCTCTTCTTCAGCTGGAAGTTGGTTTGTTCTCTCCCACAGAAGGCTATTGCTGATGATATCCGGCCAATGGATGTTGAGTATATTGCTTAGACAGCTATTTATAAATACTTGTACTTTCTTGATGGTGGTTGTTGTAGATCTCCAAGTTTAAGCTTCATACAGTAGAACTGCCTTGACGTTCGTATTGAAGATTCTTACTTTGATATTGGTTGAGAGTTGTTTTGAGTTCCATATGTTCTTCAATTGTAGGAATGCGACCCTTGCTTTGCCGATCCTCGCCTTTACGTCTGCATCGGATCCTCCTTTTCATCGATGATGCTTCCCAGGTATGTGAAGGATTCTACATCTTCCAGAGTTTCGCCATCAAGTGTGATTGGATTGCTGTTCTCCGCTTTGAATTTGAGGACCTTAGTTTTCTCTTTGTGTATGCTGAGGCCTACTGATGCAGAGACTGCTGCTACACTGGGTGTCTTCATCTGCATCTGTTCGTGTGTACGTGATAGGAGGGCTAGGTCATCTGCGAAGTCCAAATCGTCTAATTGGTTCTGAGCTGTCCATTGTATTCCGTGTTTTCCTTCAGATGTTGAGGTCTTCATAATCCAGTCGACCACCAGAAGAAAGAGGAAGGGAGAGAGTAAACAGCCTTGTCTGACTCCGGTCCTTACTTGGAATGTATCTGTCAGCTGTCCTCCATGCACTACTTTGCACTGTAGTCCGTCGTATGAGGTCCGGATAATATTGACAATCTTCTGAGAAACTCCGTAATGTCGAAGAAGTTTCCATAATGTCCTCCTATCTTTACTGTCGAATGCCTTTTCATAATCAATGAAGTTGATGTATAGTGATGAGTTCCACTCAACTGATTGTTCGACGATGATCCGTAGTGTTGCAGTTTGGTCTGTCTGTTAAAATATCAACCACTCGTGAGTATAGCCACAAGGCGACACGAACGCATATCACTTTGTAACCTATCCACTGGTATAAGCGAGACAAGATTAACTGTCAACTATAAATTAATCATTCTGCTTAACCACTATCCACTAGAATATTATTTTTTTTTTACCACCGCCTACCTAATTTCCAATTGCGAAGTTCCATGGCCAAACAGAGGGCACGAATTCTAGGGAGTAATGATGGCGGTTTTCGGTATATCGTCTGTGGCCATGGGGATTTAGTTATACGCTTTAACCAAGTCGACTTTCTAATAAACAGTTGTACCTTTCAAAGTAGCTGTCAAATCGTGAATGTGAGGCAACGGGTAACGATCAGGAATGGTTTTCGCATTCAATCGCCGATAGTCACCAGTTGGACGCCAATCGTTGCCATCCTTTTTGGGGACCATGTGCAACAGAGATGCTAATGGGCTATTTGACGGTCGTATGATTCTTAAGTCTATCATATAGTCGAACTCGTTTTTCGCCAACCTCAGCTTTTCAGGAGCTAGTCGTCGTGCTTTAGTGAATACAGGTGGTCCTGTAGTCGTGATGTGATGTGTAACGTTGCTGGTTACACACGGTAGTTTCGGTTGAGTTTGTTATATCCCAGGATACTTATCGAGTAGTGGCTGATAAAGTGGGTCTATCATATGATTAATTGTAACTGGGGATAATCTGCAACCAGAAAAGGAGGTTACGCAAACGGAAAAATTGGTGTTTCTGTCTACTAGCCTCCGTTTGCGCGTGTCGATGATTAGATTGTGGTGTTGTAGAAGGTCAATACCAATGATTGGCAAAGAAACATCTGCAACAACAAAAATCCAGTGAATGGGTTTGCGTAAACCCACGTTCAGGTAAACGTACCTTTTGCCAAACGTAGCGATCGGTTTTCCGTTTGCCGCCTGTAAGTTTAAAGCCGATTCGTGAAGTCGGTCGTTAGGATTTGCTGGAAGAACGCTAACTTCTGCACCAGTGTCGACGAGGTAGCGAACTCTCGTTGTCACATCTGTGACGTATAACAGACGGCTATGTTCACCGGCTACGGTTGCCGTTAACGCGTGCCGGCTTGGAGGTTTTCCGAGTTGTTTTTCGAGCCAGTCGTTTTCGTGTTGGGAAAATTGCAGTTTTCTGCAATTTCTGGATTGGTGAAGATTTGTAGCTCATAGAGTTCATAGAGGACAAAAAGATGAAGCTACAAAGGACACTCACCTCAGAATATTTGGAAATCTTGGCAACAGCCATCTAGACATCACGCAAACGACAGGAAGAACAAAGAAGAAACACCTTAAGGAGAAAACTAATGAAGATCTCAAATCCACCCATGGAAGAAAACGCAAACACGTTCGTGATCAATCTGTCAGAACAACCCGTAAAAAATGCGGAAGAACACCTACTCCGAAAAGGATTAAACAACAACACAAGCAACGCCAACTCTGCCTGTAGCTCTTATAGAGTTACTGCCGGTCCCATGCCCGGGTAAAGGAGGAGGGTTGGGCATGAGGTTAGCGTCCCCATCCCGTAGAAAACTAACTCGCTAAAAAAACGCTTACCAGAAAAAATAATTCAAACCATTTTAACTCTGCCCTGAAAGTTAGAAGGTCTTCATTTAGAAGAATTATGACGCTTCATGGTGAAAGCCGAGTTCCTTCGGAAGCCACGAGGCCGATGCCCCTTCTAACAACCAGAGCAAAAATTTTTATAGGTACATGGAACGTTCGAACAATGTGTGAAACCATGAAGACCAGTCGAATAGCAATGGAAATGAGGAGATACAACTTAGCAGTACTGGGAATCAGCGAAACCCACTGGACTCAAGCTGGACAGAAAAGGCTAGCTACGGGAGAGATGCTGCTATACTCCGGTCACGAAGAGGACAATGCTCCACACACTCAGGGAGTCGCTCTTATGCTGTCCAGAGTAGCACGAAATGCACTTGTAGGATGGGAATCTCACGGATCCAGAATCATCAAAGCATCATTCAAAACAAGGAAGGAGGGGATCTTAATGAATATTATCCAATGTTATGCACCCACCAATGATAGCAACGACGACATTAAAGATCAGTTCTACGAGCGGCTGCAGTCAGTGATAGAGAAATGCCCAAGAAAGGACCTCACCATTCTAATGGGAGATCTAAATGCCAAAGTCGGAATAGACAACACTGGATATGAAGATATTATGGGACGACATGGACTGGGAGAAAGAAACGAAAATGGAAAAAGATTTGCAAATCTATGTGCATTCAACAAATTGGACAAGATCAAAGAAAGGAAGAACAAGAAGACATCAATTAACAACAATCAAATACGAGCAGAGAAAGTTCATGCACAAGCTGAATATATAGAAGCAAACAAGCAAGTGAAGAAGAGCATTAGAGCCGACAGGAAGAAATACGTGGAAGAACTAGCAACGACGGCAGAAAAAGCTGCTAGAGAAGGAAATATGAAACAGCTTTACGATACAACGAAGAAACTAGCAGGGAAATACAGTAAACCAGAGAGGCCGGCCAAAGACAAAGAAGGCAAGACAATCACTGAAATTCAACTACAGCGGAACAGATGGGTAGAATACTTCGAGGAACTCCTGAATAGGCCGGCTCCAATGAATCCACCGAACATCAAAGCAGCACACATAGATCTTCCTATAGATATCAACCCACCAACGACGGAAGAAATTAGAATGGCCGTCAGACAAATCAAGAATGGAAAAGCAGCCGGACCCGACAACATACCAGCTGAAGCGCTGAAATCAGACATCGAAGCAACCCCAAGCATGCTTTATCTTCTATTCGAAAAGATTTGGGTGGATGATCAAGTAAAGGATAGGATTGGCAAAGCAAGGGTCGCATTCCTACAATTGAAGAACATATGGAACTCAAAACAACTCTCAACCAATATCAAAGTAAGAATCTTCAATACGAACGTCAAGGCAGTTCTACTGTATGAAGCTTAAACTTGGAGATCTACAACAACCACCATCAAGAAAGTACAAGTATTTATAAATAGCTGTCTAAGCAATATACTCAACATCCATTGGCCGGATATCATCAGCAATAGCCTTCTGTGGGAGAGAACAAACCAACTTCCAGCTGAAGAAGAGATTAGGGAAAGACGATGGAAATGGATAGGACATACATTATGCAAATCGTCGAACTGCATTACGAAACAAGCCCTAACTTAGAATCCTGAGGGAAAGCGGGAAAGAGGAAGGCCAAAGAACACATTATGTCGGATAATAGAAGCAGATATGGAAAGGATGAATTACAACTGGAAGGAGCTAGAAAGGATTGCCCAGGACAGGGTTGGATGGAGAATGCTGGTGAGCGACCTATGCTCCTTCACGAGGAGTAACAGGCTTAAGTAAGTAAGTAAGTAGGTACAAGCAACGCCCCAAAACTGGAACTCTTCGCAGCACTTGAATCATCACTCAAAACTTCCGGAATCAGCGAAGAAACACATTAAGAAATAAGTCTGTCTATAGTTCAGCTCACTCAACAGATGAAGGAAAACAACCAACTGACCCCACAAGAACAAAAAGCTTTGAAGAAGCGCAGAACTAGAAAAGATATTGTCATAGTTCCAGCGGACAAAGGATGCACCACAGTAATTATGGACAAAGAAGAATACGTCGAAAAAAGCCGAGGAACTACTTGATGATAAGAGCACATACAAATAGATGGATACAAATATAGTAAAAAAAATTAGACAACCGAATCTCAAAGACTTTAAACAAGCTAGTCAGAGCAGGAGATATAACAAAACAAGACCAATAGAGAATGAAATCCAGTGGACCAGTACTTCCTTGATTCTACGGCAGACGCAAAATACGCAAACCAAACAATCCACTACTTCCAGTTGTAGCACTCCCCGGAACGCCAACGTACAATTTGTCAAGAGAAATTTCACAAATACTGAAACATTTAGTAGATTCATTCAACCAATCCATCAAATCTCCCACACAATTCCTCGACCAAATTAAGGACGTTCGAATCAACAACGACGAACTGATGATATCCTTCGATGTAACAGCGTTATTCACCTCAATTGAACCAAGGTTAGCAAAAGAAACTATGTACCTGCTCCTCACCAACGACAAAAATCCCACTAAGTACGCGAAGCTTCAAATTCCAAGTCTACTACAATTCATCGATTTATGCCCAACAGTATATTTTCAATTCAACAACGAAATCTACGAACAAATGAAAGGGACACCAATGAGATCACCAATATCAGGATGTGATGATCAAGAGTATTTGAATTCTAGTATGAACTAAGAATCCCAGAAATAACGTAATCCAATCAAGAAGTACTAGATAATCACAGACGAATGTACTTTATTTAGAATTCGAAATCAAGCATTCAACAAGTACAAAGGAGTCATTAGTTCCTTCAAACACCACATCCGCCACAGCTTAAATTAGAGTTTAGGTGTCTGTAATCAGTTGTACGTCTTCTTCTCAAGTTCATCCTCTATCTGTCCGACATTGTATTGGATGAAAACTCTATTATCTAGAATGCACTCATTAGTATTAGAATTAACAACTGAAATCGAAACAGACTCGTCTGCTTCCTGGGATTTTGTACAATCATCATGTCGGTTGTGTACTGAAATCGCTGCTACCTAGAATTTGAACCATAGACTTTTAGACTATCCTCCCCCATCAAATAATGTTGAATCTTTATATCTCCAAGTTATGAATGAATTGGCTTCAATTAAAACATATTTCTCACGTTGGTTAAAGTAAACATTAGAAGTGTCTTTGTGACAAGGATAAACAGCAGTTGATATGAACTCATCCAAGTTGTAATCAAAATCGAGGTCATTTGGTACTTGTGCTTTGCATTGAACACGTTTCCCACAGGAAACAAATGCATTGTGAGGACAATAAACATTTGGTATGACATCAAGCTTTGACTCTTCTGAAATAGTTTCCTCGAATTTATTAAGAATGTCATTGCAGAGTGAAGGATCACTAGAAAAATCAGCATCCATCAAAACTACATCAGGTTTCTGGTCATAATTATGTTCACTCAACATATTTTCCACAGATTTGTAACAAATTTCGTCAGAAATATGTGAATCACTAGGAAAATCCATATTTGGTATAATAACATGAGAAATCTGATAAGTTGATTGATTAGAAACTGTTGTCTCGCAAAAATTATGAGTTTCACTTAACTCTGAACTGCTATATGACTCTACACTGTTTTTTGAAATCGTTGATAATGATAAATGATCATTAAGAACACTAGACTTAATAAAATCAGAATTACAACACTTAATATTTGTTGCAGCAAGATGAGCAGTAGTAGTATTACAAACTGACTGAATATGTCCAATATCACCACATTTAAAGCACTCAGAACTACGAAATTTACATGAACTAAGAGTGGAACCTGCCACAGGACAAACATTGACCAGACTTGTGCCCATTTTCGTGAAGTGCATCGCAACTCCACAATGAATTATCTGAATAACCTTCAGTATGCACTGAATTGGGAATTTTTAATATCCCCATGAATCATTCTACAAAATCTTCCTCCTTTTCCACATTTAAAATTTGTATAATGAACATAGTCTAGCAGTAGATCCTTGAGAATTATATCAGAAAACGAAATGGGCTTTTCCGGTAAAGCCAGAGTCTTCAATAAGCTATATGTTTTTTATCCGATGAATGTGAGGAAATGTGCTATAGTATTAGCATCCTCATCGTCTTCCTTGGTCATAGCTCAAATTTCGAACCTTTCGAAGTAATCTTCAAAAGCATCAAAATCTGAATGCATGTCCAACCGTTCCATCACAGGCTCCATCGCGACGGCAATGTGATAATCAGGAATATTTGAATTGTAGTATGAACTAGGAATCCCAGGAATAACGTAATCGGACCAAGAAGTTCTAGATAACCACAAATAAATGTACTGTATTTAGAATCTGAAATCAAGCATCCAACAAGTACAAAGGAATCATTAGTTCCTTCGAACACCACACAGGACTAATCGCAGAAGCAGTGATGCAAAGACTAGAAGCCACGATATTTCTAGTGATCAAGCCAAAAATGTGGATTCGCTACGTAGACGACACATTCATCATCTTCAAAAAGAATGAGCTGGAAAACACTTACAAACTGATCA